TCGTCCTGTAATGGCAATGGTCCGTTGATTAAATTCATTCTACCGAGGAATCTTTGGACCTTTGAATATTATTGATCATTGTATGATACTTTTTGCCAATGGGAAATCTTGACGGTTTTTGAGACTTGATCAAGAAGCGTAAATTGAGGCTTTATTCTGAAGTTTCTCATTTTACTGCCTTAAACTCCATATAAATCCAGTCTTAAAATTCGCTTTCTCTGTTGGTTCAATTTTTAAGTCAAATCGTCCTTCACCAGCTTCTCTATTTGACGTTAATTTATAACCATGGCAATGTTCTTGATGAAACATGCCAAGTATGAAGAGATGATAATTGGATTCCACTAGATTATCCGAAACATCATGATAGGATAGAGCATTCATAATAAATTTAAAGAGTTTTTCCTTAAATTCTGAGAGTTTAGCAATGCCAACAAGGAAGACCTTCTTCAAATTCATCATTGCCCTGCATTGGCCAATCTAATCATTTATTAGGTCAGTACTTAGACGAACAACAAGAAAAACTACCTCATTGCATTTAATGAACTCAGAAATAAGAAGTGTTTTGTCAATTATAGTGGAACCCTGACCCACAATCTTTTTAAAACTATCAAAGACTATTGGAATTTTTTCGACTATAAAGAGAGTAGCGGTTCCATCTGTGATAGTAAAAAAGGATTAGTCTGATATGAAAATTTCTTGGTAAGGATAGAGGGAAGTAAAAAATACGCATAAGAACGATTTTCGTAAGTTATGAGTTGCACTAGTTCTTACGTTGTAATTTGACCTCTTTTTGTACTGCTTTTAATTTATTTTTCAAAAGTTCATTTTTCTGGCGTAAATCCTTTCAAGACTTCAGAGTTCTCAGAGTTCTTGAAAATGGCAATTAAAACAAATCAGATCTCGATGATGAAGGTATTGAATTTGACGAGTAACGAAGTGAATTGGAAAGAAAGACCTGAGAAAAGGACATTTGCATACAGGAATATGTGACGCAAATATATGCGCATAAAGCCTGTGCTGCAAATGTTAGACCTGCATATATTGTATTACATAGCATAGCGGACATTTGAAACTTGCAATTTTTATTACGATTATTTCCTAATTATCATTAAAATAATTGATTTTGATTGGTTAAATTTTATTATTAAGTTAATATAATATTTAATATCGAATTGTTTTATATAAAATTAATAATTAATTATATCTAAGTTAAAATCACCCATTAGTATTATATGAAAGTTAGAGAACGTTTTGATTATACCAATAGTTCTATAAGTTTGTTTTGGATATAAATTCTATATTTGAAAGACTCTTTATCATTAAACGTGATTAGGAAATAAACTTAAAAGATTCTTAATTTATAAATTAACAAAAAATGACCATTAATTAAAAATGTAAAAGGATGTGAGTATTTATAATAAAACAAACACTCTAATAGTTTTATGAATAGTTATAATTATGGGAAATGAATTTATAAGGTTTATTGTATAGGTTTTTATTAAATAACATTGTTTGTAACATTGTTAAATAGGTTTTACTTAGTCTAAGATATTGTTATATGAGTCGATTACGAAGTCTACTGACTGAAAAATAGACTTCAATATGTATAGCAATGTTTTAGGTATCTGAAGAATAACAATTTATGTTAACAATCTTAAAGTCTTGTTGGCGTTAATAGAATTATCAATGTAAATCACTACAATTAATATATATGTTTATATGGGAGAGCTTTAATGATAGATTGGATTTTATATTACAAGTTTAACTAATTAAAGTTATAAGGTAAAAGGTTGGTTTATTAATTAGAGAAATTGGAATCAATACCATTCAATAAT